CCCCCGAGGCCCCGCGGCCGCAGAAGAGCCGATACCCAATCAATATGTGGCGCGGCAGGCGCGGCGGGCAATCGAACGAACGGCACACACGGACGGTACTGAGGGGCCCAACAACCCTCGGCACACTCCTTGCGAGCAGGGCGACGCAAATAAAACGCGACTTGAGCAAGATGCCACACACACACATCCACAACCGACCCACTATTTTTCATGATTTATTTTGTTGGTCCGTCAAAGGTGGTGTATGGTAGCAAAACGTATGTGACACTATGTGTCACACTGTTTCAATTATGCACGTGATTTAATGAATGTCGTCCCACTTTCTTATACCACCCTTGCTCTCCTCACTGAGACTGATTGGCCCACAAACCTTCCTCTGCTGTACTCGCTCGGCGTGGGACCCGCGGCCCCGCCACCGCCACGACTACCTTGTCGATAAAATTGTCTCCGGATGACATTACAATTTCAGGTATCGTGTGGAGTGTCGTGACAGCCCAGGTGGGCGCTTCTCTCTACCGTCACCGTTCCCCACTCTCGCTGTCTCTGTCCCCCTTCACTCTTCTACCCCGTCTCTCTGTCACACACCAGGAGGAAAAAAAAAAAAAGACGGGGACGACGTGGGGAGGGGGGTGGGGGGTGGGAGGCCACTCGTCGTGTCCTGGGCTTGGCGTGCCACCGCCAGTGCATATTTTCATGTCGGACAACCAAAGAAGTCCATCAAAGGGCCAAAATGAGAATACGATGACATTGCGGGTAAAAGGTTGCCCGGGCCCATCACAATCTCGCTGACAAACACACACTCACCAAAAAGACACGCGCACACACACAGCACCCACTCAAACACGCACACACACAAACACACGCACATGTGACACCGGAGGTTCCGTTTTCACAAAACTCACGCGTCCAGGAAACTCTCGGCCCTCCATTCCGGAAGACGATAGGGCTCTCCGATACTCTTCGATCCTCGCCATCACACTGCTCACCTGGAGACAAAGGACACAAGGGGTTCTATTAGAAGATATACTATTTGGACAAGGCGAGGGAGGAGCGCTTTACTGCATCCCTGCCCTGCATCCCGGCCGGCAACGCGATATTTAAAAGGTAGAGCCAGGTGGGCAACATAACGTCTGGCCACAGGTGGATTTGTAGCGTCCAGCTGGAACGCAGGGGATGGGCCGACTGAGGCCTGACTGCGTGACCCGAGTTACGGGTGGCTCCAGTTCGCTATGAACAAGCAGTCGTCATAACCCTTTTTGAAGTTGAAGTTGAAGTATATGAGCAAGAAGAAATCACAGGTTCTCCAGGCGAGGAGAAGGGGGAGAGGATGGGGGGTTCGAGTGGACGGAGCACGACCCTCGCCCTCGCCCCCGCGCCGGCCCCCCACTCCCCACTCTTGGAAAGCGGAGAGCCCCTCGCCTCCAAGTCGAGTGAGGAACCCGAACGTTCTCTACTATCGGCACGTGGCCGACGTGGACACCATACGACATGACGTTCACCCGCGCCAGAGCGCGCCAGCCCCCCCTACATGCGGTATTTTTATCTCGGGTTTCTCGAAAGAAAACAGGGGAAAGGAAAGAAACCAATAGCTATGTTCCACATCATTCTGTACGGGGAAAGATTCTCCGGTCGGACAAAGCGGCGCACCCCAGCCACAGCCACGCACGGGCGTCGCGGGGAGTGGCGTGGCGGGGCGGGGCGTGGCGTGGCGGGACTGTCCCGCGAGCGGATGGCGGAGATCTCGGCGACAAACGCCTTCGAGTCCGTCACCCTCCAGAGCCTCTTTGTTCTGTGTGCGG